GCACATAGATACCAGTGCTCTGTGTGGATATGCATGGATTATCTGAAGGAAAAAATGGTATATTCTATATATTATACATTAGTAGTAGTGTCGCATATCGCAATGTACTGATGCATTCCCCATAACTTGGTACTTAAAAATTTCCAACCTCCTATTTAAAAAGTACTATAGTACAGCTGAATGGAATGGAATCGTAATGCAAATTTCCGCACGCAAATGCTAATTCTGCTAGCGTTGGATGTTAACATAGAACAGCGATTCTCACAAATGTGCTAGCGGACGTTAGCACATAGTAAATCATGAAGTACACCATGTGAACAGTGAATAAGCGTCTCTTCGTTTTTATGCCACAGTCGCTCTCCAAACCCGGTGTTCTGTCGAGTTCAGCTACTTTGTCGAGTTAGGCTACCATAGTGCTAATCGATAGCCCTAACCCTAACCCCCAAAAAACCCCTAAATCCCTTACCCTAACCCTAACCCCCAAACGGTGGAACTGCACATGCGCAAAAAGGCTCGATAGGTAGCTCAACTTGTCAGAATACCGGCAACGCCTTTACTGAGCCGACCATTCTGCAGTGGAAAACCGAAGTGAGCTGGAACTGTGCATTAACTAATGTCTCTTTGTGGTACGAGTCAGGTATGACCTGGTTCCTGTATGCCAGTGGAAAAGTGCAATGAGTTCTTACTGTATGTGGGGTGGTATGTAGCTTAGTTAATTGGGACTCCCTGTGTCCAGAAGTTTCCAGACTGAAATCCCATAGCCTTACAAGCTTCGGGCTCATGGAAAAGGTCCTTAACTCCAACCCGTCCAGTGACGCTGACTAACACTGCTCTCTGATCCTCATTTGTGTGTCACTTTGGGCAAAAGCATCTGCTGTGTAAATAAATGTAAATATTCACAGCCCCCTTGTTAATGGAGAGTAGGTCTACAGTATTGCTGTGAGATTTTCCAATAAAATGCCCTTATGTCTTTAGAACTAAAAACTAAAAGCAAAAATTTCACTTCCTCAATAGCAGCTTCCTGATTTTAAACGTGACTGTGGCTTGCCATGCTTATAGGTAGACAGGAATTGACGTTTCTTTAAGAGCGTTAAAGGCAAGGTCAGTGTTCTCTGAGGTGAGCTGCTGACATTTGCAGTGGTTTCTGCCTTCTCATGAACTTTCAAATCCTTCCCAAGGATGAAGGATGATTAACCTGCTGTCTTGTCGGACTAACTCGTCTGTTATATGTATGTCTTCTTTTAAGGCTCCCAAGTCATGCAAAAGACCATATAGGACAGATTGGTGTTTTCACTACATCCAACAGCATTGTCTTCTGGGATAAGCTATTTGAAATGCAGTGTGAATATATAACAAATTATTAGTAATGCTTTGTAGATTCGGTTTTACCAGCCTTAACATTTTTTACCTTAAAAATGCTCCTGTTGTTTGTATTCATCTGTGGTTTGCATGCCAATACTATGTACGCAACGCCTGTTGTCTTGCTTTGGTCCACTAGGGGGAACTATGAATATGACATCGAGAGACAGGAGTTTACCTCCGTTCCATAGGGACATTTAAAACGAGTATGTAATGAATGTATGTACTTTGCACCATCTGAAGAATCAGTGACGTGTCAGGTAAACCAGCCACCTTGGCAGGCCTGTCGTCGTAGCAGCCAAGCCTGTTTGTGGGAATCTGTGGTCTTCTCTGAAAAGCTGGTGATTCCTGCTGCTGTCAGGATGCTTGTGATAAGTGAAAGGCAAAGAGGCGGCATTTCAGTTCAGGGGAGGGTCACTCTTTCAAAGAATTTCAACTTAAACTGCAGATCCTTGTCTTGCCCCAAATTTGCTTACATCCTTCCATTGAGGTCATAGCAATAAATATTTAACGAGCGGGAACGTGAAGTAGGTATTAAACTGCATGTATATTCCATTAAGACCCCCTCTCAGCAACACTACAATGTCACAAACATCCTGCATTACGAACGATACACATATTATTCATATCGCACACTTCTGTCCTTGGATTGGCTGCTTGGAACAGCTACCATTTTAGTTATCAGACATCTATGTGCATGCCATAACAGAGAAACTAATTACCAGCAGTCGTTACTCTTGGGAACACAGTTTAAAATGGCAGATAGTACAATAGCAGACTTAGGCCGACAAACCAGTTTGGAGTATGATGCATGGTTACCGAAATAATGCTGTTGCCTGACATAGTGTGTAATATGTATGCCTTTGGCCGCCTGCCGTGGATGATTCAGTAGCTACACTCATCACCAGGCAAGAAGTACGGCACAAGGGTGTGGTAGCTGAAACAACAGAACAAGTGGAAAAAATTAATCGTAGATGTGCTGCTGTACTCAACCTTCTCACTCTCTTTTTGGGTATTTATTCATAAGTAAACATAAAGAAAAAATCTATTTTAACAATGCCATTTTAGTTGGTTCATATCTGTAAATATGTTATTTAAACACGCTAACAAGTATAATTTAGGCACATATCCATCCATCCATTTCCTGTAACCTCTTGTCCCATTCAAGGTGGCGGGGGGTCCAGAGCCTATCCCAGATGCTACTGGTGCAAGGCAGCTATGTACACATGACTTTTAATATTTAAAAATTTGCCAGGTCAAAAGAAGTTCACTGAAAGGTACTTTTGCGGTCAGGTTTGCGTGAAGAATATGTTAAATATGCAAATGTAGTGTTTGACAGGATGATTTTAACAGAAATTTTGGCACTACTCAACTACAAATGCAGTGATAAATCTTTAGTACACCCCCGCCCCCCCCCCACCCCCCACCCACCCAGTCAGGCAGAGTAATTAAACATTTCAGGAAGATACTGGGAGGCCCCCACAGAACAGATCAGGCAGTCGTTGAAATGTTTTCAGACAAACCTGGGCGATCTGGTGACAACAGTTAGAATCATTCAATTTAACACCGGACTGCGTCCACATGTTGCCCTGACTTGTCATTTCTGGACAAAAGCGACCTTTTCAGTTCACCTTTCCAGGATATCTGTTGACAGCAGTCGTTCACACCCTTCCGCATGGCTCGCTAGCTTTGTTGACAAAGGGGCAGAGTCATGGGCAGGACCTACCTGCTATGGAAAATCCATCTTCGCTGACACACTGCAAACACTTGACCTTTACCTGGGAGCTACTAAACTCCTTTAGCCTTGTTCACATGCTCATTTCAGTGTTTTGTATATTTTTTTCTCAAACACAGGCCATCCCATTACACACACTTGTACATACCATCATGTCTTCAAAGTAATGCTTAATAAATCAGTTTAATTATGTGTAATTTTTAACATATTCTCTATTTTTTATCTTAACTTTCTGTAATCGTTGTTTATGCACAGTGACGGAGCTGTTTTGCCACAATAACATTTTACTGCCATATGGGGCATCGTTAAAGATTTTGGGCCCCTTGACAGCATATCATTTCGGGCCCCCAATTCAGACCAATCCAGTTATGTTCCAAATTTTTAGGGACCCTTGGAATCATCCGAACTTCCCCCTCCCATAACAGCACCTCTTATTGCCATTCCATGTGACAAATAAAAAAAAAATTGCATCTAGAATCTAATTAAGTTTAATAAATAAAGGTGCCATTTTAACAAATAAGATCTAACTTCATCAGAAATATTTTCACAAAATGCTTGAAATATAGCTGTATGTATTCCAGAATTATTGGCCAATCTTAGAGTTTCCATTTAGAATTAGTGATCACCATTTACAGTATCTCATAGCTTTTCATTCAACAACACCCACTTGGGAGGGGCAAGAACGGTACTCTCCCTCTGTGGTGTGTGTGCTGGTGTATTTCTAGCCCGTGGGATGTGTCTGATGATTGTTCCATGCCTGAGGGAGAGCGGTATTTCCTCACTTCCACATGAAGCCCCACGGGGGCCCAGCTACGCAGCCACGGCTGGGTGGTGGTGGGGGTGGGGGTGGTTGTCAAGCACCACCCAAGGAAATGAAATTTGGTCCGGCTGACGTGGTACTGCTGGGATCACACAAACCCCTCTCTCCCCAGCCCAAGGACCCCACCCAAGGCTGCCCTGTTTTTAAGCTTGGCATTTGTTGAGCCTTGACATGGTTATTATTTGCTGATAAAATGCTTTTATTGAGGCGTGTAAGAAGGACTGAACCCGGTCAACAACATTCCTGCTCGAGATCGGGAATGAGAGAATAGATAATGGAAATAGATGGCTGAGATGAAGCAGAATCCCCCAGTTATGTGTCTGACTCAGAATACAGACAGAAGATGGGATCCTCTCACGCAAAGTCCCACTAATGACTACAGCACTGATTTGTGTGGCTGTAAAGAAATCCTGCAATGTCCTGCACCATCACAACTGAATATTTATGTTACCAGCAACCACAAGCACACTAAACAACATTCAGATGTTTTTTAGAATATAACTTGAGTTGTAAATATATTTTAATGTACATTGTTCCATGCAAAGGTGTTCATATTTTTGAGGACTGTAGCCTAAGTCAAGAGAGAGGTTTTTCATAAAGTAAACACGTAGATCAAGTGTAGATGATTAATTAACATTTGGTTGCACCATTAACACTGGGAGTATTCGTGAGAATATGCAAAAGTGGAAATGGCCTTTGTAGACTATAGCCATGGATTGGCCAAGTCTGTAGAAACTGTCCATAATGAAGAATGAAGTTTAAAGTAGTACAATGAACCACTGATCAATGTCACTGTAGCTGAGGCGAAGTTGAGATGAGCGACATTTATGGAAGCCGTTTCCATATCCCATCATTTTTCCCTGAACCATAAAAGAGAAGTTTAGCGAAGTCGATGATGCTGACGTCGCAAATAAGAAAAAAAAAATGGAATCACAGGTGGTCAAAAAAATCGATAAACTGAGAATATCTAAGTATAAACGACTATTGTTAGAAATATCAGCCGAGTTGGATTCCTCTGTTCTCCGATAAATAATGGGTGGTTATTAACCGTGAGTCACCGGGCTAAGCCGTGCCTTTTCCCCAAACCCTGTTTACACACTCTTATGATTTTCAGGATCGGTGGTAATTTCGGGCTGGCTCAAACATCGTGAAGTGCTAGACCAAGCCGAGAAAGAAGCCCAAGAGGAGTTTGCGGCGACCCAACAGGTCCGTGCGCTAAAACCGAAAGAAAGACACCGAGTGAGAGAGAAAAGAAAAGGCGCTATATAAATAAGGAAGACACCCCACGCACAGCGAATCGCGCTATGCTACACACACTCGGAGCGAGGAGAGGAGCTCCGAAAGCCAGCGGGGGAGATGACAATGAATCGGACGTGAGAAATTCTCTGAAAGACGGGGAAAGTGAAAGGGAAGGCGGGCGTTTGGACAGCGCGTCCGATCGAGTTCGCTTTACTGCCGAAACTGAAGCGATCGTGGAGAACCATGCAGTAAAAGCGGGAGTCGCGGTGCAGGTCCGGACGTCGCTCTCTCCCGTCGCAGCCGATAAAAGCCGCCCTCGACACCAACGAGGCGATCAGGTCAAGCAGATGTCCAAAGAACGGCAGAGACTGGCCAGGGAGAAGAGAGCTAGTCGAAAGTCACCCGAGATCAGCAACGGAGTCAGTCCGACTACAGAACTAGCAAACCCCATGGTGGAAACGGCCACAATCGCTTCAAATGAAGACCTAAACTGTAGGGTAGGTTGTGTTCCGCAGGTGACCATAACTCCAGAGGAGGGTGATGGTCCTCGGGAGTTCCAAGAAGATGACTGGAATGATCTCGATGGTCCTCTTCGGCGAAAACAGTCCAATTCCTCAGTGTCATCTGCCGGCTCCTCCACGGTTCTCGAGGAGTCTGAAGATGACATTCTTAGTGACAACGAGACCAAAAGCAAAGGCATCGTCACTTTAGAGCCGGTGGAGGACTCGACCACGGTAAGTTTTCATGTCGTTAACCATATTCATGTTTTCAAATGTATTTTTTGTGAGATTTAGGTCCAGAAGGTCCACACATATAGAACAGGCCCTATATAATACCATTAAAGAACATTTTACCGAAGTTCTAAATTCTAGGACTGCATGCATCTCTCACTGTACTAATTTTCATGAACGTAAGGCAACAAGCCAGTTTGTTACTAACATTGTTTCATCGTGAACAAATACAACCATAATGGAATATTCCGCTTTGGATCTGTGTATTCGAACCATGTTGTAGATCACACTAGATCCGACTACACGGTGCAACTTCAGCCAGTGAACAGGTTGTTCTTATTCGAAGCACAACTTGGAAATCAAGTGAAGGACGTTTTGGACGTTTAGACCAAGTGTGTATAGAAAATGGATGAATGGATCCTAGAAGCAGTTATGAATTCAATAAAATTTACATCATGTGAGGAAAGCTGAATATACTTCGAAACCACGTTTGTTTCCACTTTGAGTTAGATTGTTTTTTTAGAATAGACCCCCTACAGACCTTCAGAATTACCTCTCGTCTTATTTAATGGTTTTGGCAAGTCGCGTTCTCACCATAACTGTCAGATGTGGTCATGCTGGTGCAATGTTGAAATCAGTGTTTTATTTTCTCGCAAACCAGCACTGAAAATTGTCGTTGCCTCTAAATTAGTTTGTTAGTCTTTCAGAACATTCGTTGTATCATATAATAAGGACATCACCTTTTATCCGAGTAATCTTCGAATATTCATAAGTTATTGTCAGGGATTTGATAGTTTCTGTTTTTCTGAATAATTTTTACTTTTCTCAGAAGAGTAATTAAATAAATGACCCAATTATTTTGCCACATTGCCGAACAATTTGAGACTGTTCACACTGCTGACGTTGTATATCATATGTTAGACGTAAATGAATGTTTTATTTCCAAATATTAATATTTATGTTCTAAATTAATCAACAATTCAGTGACAGTTATTAGTCTTGAACAATTAACTCGGGCACGAGTGACTGTTTTCTTACGATAAACTGATCATTGAATTTCGTTAACTGGAAGGGTGAGACGGGAGGGCCTCTATACTTAACGTTGTTCCAGATTGCATAACAGCTTGCAAAGAAAGTTTTTATTTATTTACTTATTTTATTTTATAAAAAGTCAAAATATTATATGTGTGTTATGAATATATTGTTACTATATAGTTTACAGTTAAATGTAAAGTTTTAAAATGTATCTAATTCCCCGAGATACAAGAAATAACATGGAGAACTCATATAATTAAGGACTAAATAATTATATTAAGGACCAATATGAATCTAAATCAAATGAGGCAGAGTTATCTGAAGAATCAATCGCTACCCAGGCAATCAGCCTGCGGTTTCTGGAAAGCCCGATTTGCATACCGTCATGTCTGGTTACTGTGTTTTACAATGTTACCAAAACAGTTAACGTTTTTGCTGGGCTCTACGAAATGCACATTAGGTTTGTTATTATACAATTTTAACTTATCTTATCGTGGTGGCTCAGTGAGTAACAAATCCCGTGGGTCATGGCTTCGATTAACACCCCCAGGTCTGCGAGCCTGTGTAGTTTTCATGTTCTCTATGTGACTTCGTAGGCGAGTCGTGAACGGCTGCCCTGTGAGACGCTGGCTTCCTGTCAGTGGTGCCCCCTGTCTTGTGCTCTTTGCTTCCTGAAATAGGCTCCAGCTTTACTGCAATGCTGAACTGAATAAGTGGTTATCCAAATGACGTGAATGGTATTTCTTGAATAGTTGGCCTTTCCCCCCAAAGGATCTCCTTTCTGTTTGTTTTCGTCTAAGAGATACTGTATGGTGTTGTTCCACAAAACTGGGGTGATGTGTCAATTCATGCAAGGCACGCTGAAGGGCTCGTAGATTTGCTCCTTTTAAAACATACTGTTGGACTGCCAGAGGAAATGCAGAAAAAATATTAAAAAGTATTTCCCTAAAAACGAAATAATATACATTAAAATGATTTATTAAGAGGACTAGTAGGAGTCTAGATCAGCATTCGCAAACAGGCACACTTAACTTTAGAGTTTTGTGTGTTATCCAGTAAAACCAAATACTTTTTTGGCTATGCTTATTTGCTTATTGATAAAAATGAAATGTCTTTAAAACATAATAGAGCATAGCAGGCATTAATGTAAAAAATTAGGCAGCAGTGGTTGAGTAGCTGAATGTCATACAGATATAAGACAAAAACACAATATGAAGCTGATATTGAAATGACGCAGGGCTGCAGTTTTTGGTAGTGGTTGGCTAATGTGCTGTCAGGTTTTCCGAAGTTGTTTAGAGCAGGGAGCAAAAATGTGGACTGTCTGGCAGGGAGCTGGGAGGGAGCAAAAATGTGGACTGTCTGGCAGGGAGCTCGGAGGGAGCAAAAATGTGGACTGTCTGGCAGGGAGCTAGGAGGGAGCAAAAATGTGGATTGTTGGGCAGGGAGCTGGGAGGGAGGAAAAATATGGACTGTCGTACAGGGAGTTTGGAGGGAGCAAAAATGTGGACTGTCTGGCAGGGAGCTGGGAAGGAGTGAAAACATAGACTGTCTGGCAGGGAGCTGGGGTGGACTGTTGGGCAGGGAGCTGGGAGGGAGCAAAAATATGGATTGTCATGCAGGGAATTGGGAGTGGGCAAAAATGTGGACTGTCTGACAGGGAGCTGGGAGGGAGCAGAAATGTGTACTGTCTGGCAGGGTGCTGGGAGGGAGCAAAAATGTGGAATTTTGGGCAGGGAGCTGGGAGGGAGCAAAAATATGGACTGTCATGCAGGGAGTTGGGAAGGAGCAAAAACATGGACTGTCTGGGAGGGAGCAAAAATGTGGACTGTCTGGCAGGGAGCTGGGAAGGAGCAAAAACATGGACTGTCTGGGAGGGAGCAAAATGAGGACTGTTTGGCAGGGAGCAGGGAGGGAGCAAAAATGTGGAACTGCTGAGGGCTCCCAAGGACTGGATTGGGAAACACTGGTATAGGAACTGCACAGGAAAAGTCTCCACTGGAAACCTGAGCTTCTTCTTCTTCTGAGTTCAGCTTGAAGCCGCATTCTGCTCTCATTATGACTATGTCATCCTGGCATTCCCGGCTGCACGTGCCCATTGTTGTTATGAGCATGAAGTCACCCTGTTTATGCATTGTCAGTTCATTGTCTGTTCAAAAGGTTCCCAGGCATTGCAGAATGAAAATGGACACTGAATGAGAGGAGGCGGTCAACAACTATTTTTCCCCGAGGGCCAATTTCCATCAGCCTGCGAAAAAATAAAAAATAAAAATGAGCAGTGTGGGTTTGCACTATCCAATGATTATGATCAATTGGTCCAGATTAAATTGTATTCTGTCCTGGATGTGGACCATAGTCTGCCAGTTGGGGGCTGCTGTTGTAGACAGATGTTTAGAGTTTAACAAGGCAACATACAGTAGCAGCCTTCTGCTGAAAACAAGTTTGACCCTGGAAGACTAAAAGGTCGCTGTCTGAGCTCTGAGCGATACAAGCCCAAAACATCTGGTTCTCTGAAAGGTGTCTAAGGTCAATATGTTACAAAGATGTTAATGTCTGGGCATCAGGCACCAGCCTGACAAGGGTTAACCGTGAGGTACAAATTTATGGTGTGCAGGCAGTCCTTGGATTTTTGTAAATGCAGTTTACTTCTAAAGGTGACTTGATGCTTTGTGCTTCCTGTATTTTCCATTTAATTTGTCGCAAACTACAAAGCTTCTGGCTCTAGACAGATCTTGTCCAGTGAGTCATTCGGAAATGAGCCAGAACGGCCCTGTTTTTCCATGGAACTTCATTTCTCTGTCGGCGGCTCAGGTCCTCTTAAACCCTGCTCTGTGTCTTAAAGGGAGAGAGTGAGAGGAATAGGAGGAAGAGGTGTGTGTGTGTGTGTGTCCGTGTGTGTGTGTGAGCGGCTTTACCTATCCTTATGGGGACATAATGTCCCCATAATGTGATAAATATCCGTTTTTTTTCCCTTATGGGGTCGGTTTCCTGGTTCCCATAAGGGAAAACTCTATTTTATAAAAATCGGTGACTGCTATGAAAAAACTAAAAATGCAAAAACTCTTGTATTTTGTTAGGTTACTTATGGTTATGGTTAGGGCAGGGTGGGGGTTAAGGTTGTCATAGTTAGCGTTAGCATTTTTCCCATTGAAATGAATGAGCGGTCCCCATAAGGATATGTTTACCCTACACGTGCGTGCTTGTGTGTGTGTGTGTGTCCGTGTGTGTGTGCGTGCTTGTGTGTATGTGGTGGGCACACAGATGACTGCACTTGAGTACCCACTGTTGACTTACCTTGTGCTTTCTCCACACCCCCCCCCCAAACTCCCAAACTGGTGCTTCATACTCTTTTTTTGGGATCCTTAAAAAAATTGTATTTGGAAGATTTTTAAGTCATATGAGCACTGACCAGTGTTTTTACATTTTTCTCTGTAAAAGTACAATAAAAAATTGTGACGGTAAAACAGCAAAGTCTTATATATGGTGCTGATTTCTATGAGTTCTGTTTCTGCAGAAGATTTGATGGACTCGATGTTGATTGTTTTAGCCTGGCCTCGGAGGTGATGGCCTACTTAAGGCTGGGACGTCAGGCTAACATTTTCCACCTGCCTGGCAGGCCTTTAGTCAAGCTGTTCTATAAAAGGGCAGAAAAGATAAATATATCCAGCCATGGAAAGTAGAAAAAAAAAGTCACAAAGTCGCTTTCTGGTTAGCCTTAATCTGTACATTATTAAATTCTTTAGCTTGCTTTCTTACATGTTATATTTAAATGTATATAAGTATGAATCTAAAATGCATACACCTATATGTCCATACATATATATACACACACACACACACTCACACACACACATACTTATGTATTTACTTTTATTATTTTGGCATTTGTTTTCCATTCCCAGTTATATGTAATCTGGTCCAGAACATGCACTGCAAGCTGTGAATTCTGATAACTGATTGGTGGCTCCTGT